GTCTAAGATTACTTGTTGTGATGGTTACATGAAGTCTATCCCCGAACACTGACCACATTTTCATGACCAAATGGATACATGCTACCCCGAACACTGACCACACCGTCGTGTCCACCGAACACTATCCACATCTCGTATTTGTCTATGGCAATATTACCTTCTACTTTCCCTTCTCTCTTCATCTCTGCAACACATAARAAAAAAAAAGGAGACATCATGTTCCTTTGTATCTTTGAAGAGTGGACACGGTTGGCAAGTTCTTTTGTATCAAACGACTCTCATCATCGTTCATGAACCTAACATTAATCACAAGTAAGTCATCAAACAAATCTTAGATTCATTGATAGCTGCAATTCAAGCCGTACAATGTGGGATCTAAAGTCCAAAATTAAATTTCAACTTATCATCAATTGGATTTCAGATTCATCATTTTTATCACCTAATTTATCATTATTCTAAAGAAAAATAAAGGATTGGAGAAGAAGCGTACATAAGATTTTGTAGTCTCCATCAACAAGAACAAAGATTTTATCAAAAGGCTACATCGATCAGAAAAATCAAAATCAGATTTACGAGAAAATATAATGAAGAAGAACCTGTATCGTAAGATACTCAGGCTGCCTTTGATCTCCTTTCATGAGATCGACATGGACGATCTCGAAAGCTACTCTCTTCTCCACCAGCCTCACCATTGCTCTCTTTGATGAAACCCTAAAGTAGGAATACAACTATTCATGAAGACAATACCAGGGGAAAAGGGCGGCGATGGAGGAAGGATCGATGGTGGCTTGTTGGTGGGGAATCCATTGGAAGGAATCGAGGGAGTGAGAGACGACGACTTCTTCTCCTTGCTCGGAACGCATCCACCTTCTCCATCGAGAGAGATTAAATTAACAACCAATGATTTGTAAAAAGATAAATTTCTTATTATGAGATCTGTAAAAAGTGGATCTTGAAGGTACTGCTTTTTAGTTTCTTTTTGCTAAATCATTAGTTGGAATCCAATGACAATTGATCACAAAGATAACTAGATAAGTTACTAGAGGGATAGAAAGGAGAATTTACAAGTTCAAAGTATGCCTCCCTTGCAAAGTGTCTTTTAATGAAAACAGTTTGTAACAAAGTGCCTATATGTCTAAACGTCCGTAATGGAAAGGTACTTCCAGCGGCGCAAAGGTGCAAAATACTGATAGCTACGGTCAACTTGGTTGCACAAGCGAAGTCGCTAAACAATTAACAGATAAAAGCCATACTAATTAAAACTATACGTTTTTAAGCCATACTTAATTTCATAATTGAGAAAGAGAGAGAGACAATACATGATTATTGAACAAGACTTGCACGAATGACCTCAGGCTGAGTACCAATGCTATTGAGCTACTCCATATCCTCATAGAGGGAAGGATAATGAGGAATCTCATAACACTGAA